AAGCATGGGTTCAGCCCAAATAAAGCACCCCAATATACGCTTCTTCTTTTAGACCACACCCAACGTAGAGCTGCTTGAATAATCATAGATTATTATATATAGATAGATATATAGATATTATCCAAATTCGTTCCGAACAGCAGATCACTTTGGCTTTGTGTGTAGGCGTTACATCTGATTACATTTATTTGAACGCTTAGCAAGAGACGTTCCTTGTGAAATTTTACGCACTAATTCCTCTACCAATCATAAAATACCATCGATGCCGTCTTAACGGTTGGCACTTTTCCTTCGTACGCGTTTCTCGAATTTTTCCGTAGTTGTCATCAGCGGTATCTGTGGACTGGTACGGCTATCAAGTAAAAAATGCATTCTTTTCAGGCCTGCAACGCCTCGCATACGCCTACCGTGTCGCTGGTACCTTCTGGAAAATATTCTTGTATAATCTATACCTGTAACATAACACGTAATCTTCACGGTAGGCACGTGATCTCCAAGTTGGTAAGTTTAGAAAATTGAAAAAGTTTTTATATTCGATTGGAACAATTTTTTTTAGACGATCATTGATGCTTCTGTTTCAAATGTTTTTTTTCTACCTTCTGCCCATATGCATTTAAGGTGGGGTCGGCACGACATGTGAATCATGTTGTTAACGGTATCAGGTAGGTTTTACGACCAGTTGCCTGCCTGACGTCACTCTTGACGTCGTCCTTAGGAATAAAAAATTAAAGGAAAAAAAATATTAATTCATCTGTTGTTTTATATTCCCTGAACACCTATAATGACGTATTTTTATATAAAATTACCCTTTTTATATAAAATTTATATAAAATTACCCTTACCTAAAACTTTTATGATCACTTTTAAAGTCTACGAGGCTACGAGATAGCGCTTTCGCTATTGAAGCAAAACTATTAAGTTAGTAGTTAAGTTAGCAATTAAGGAAGGCTAAGTTGCGAACAATATACTACTGATAAGAATTACCTATAGCTTTATATTCCGCAGAATTTACCTTATCCTTATTTTATCTTAAAATTTAACTTAATTACTATTCACTCCTTATACTCGATATTTTAAATAAGAAGACTCCGTTCGCTCGCGGTGTGTTTTATTTTGTGTACGTGCAATAAATATCTTTGACCACTAGAGTCTTGACAAACTCAGTAGATACACTCAGTTTGTAATGTACAACGTGAAGAATGTCATATTATGTCATATATTAGTGGGAAATTGCGAACAAACAGTTCGCAGATGCAATAAAAACATAGAAAACAATTATACGTGTTTTTAAATTCAAAAATATTCAATTTCGATGTAAAATTAACACAACCAAAACCTATAACCCGGTCTCTTGCACGTTATGAATGATAAAACATTTTATTTCCTGTGTGTAGTAAATGCGATGCACCTGTTAAATGGTAACAGAAATTAAGCAAATAAAAATCAATACAACGACGGACGCCATTATTTTAGCCTTTACGTTGAACACCTTTCTGCACGAAATTCTCTCATATATTCAAGCCAAAGACGTAGTAAGTAGTCGCACGTTTCGAAGAAATGTAACATCATGACTCACGAGTGAACAACGTCACTTGCACTGTGTGCCGTTTTGAGACGAGACGTGTACGTTCAAGATATTTTAGACTAGTATAGTCGCAATTCACAACGGGAGACGTTTATTTGTATCATGCAATTAATATTTATGATTCTATTAATATCGCACATGGGCGAAGATAAACATAGAAAGATATTTGATACATTCACACATTGTCACAGCACACCAATCTAATAAGAAATTGTTTTGACTAGTAGTAATTTATGGTACTTTACTTATATAAGTAAATAATATGCGTAGTCTGTAATCTGACAATTATTTTTTTGGAAATAGAATATGTTAAATTTAAACAATAAAATCATAACAATATTACATCATACCTAATGTTCAACCTGAAATTTTAGGATCTCAATTTGTTTGTTTTTACAAGATTTTTCTTTTACGCATGCAATGTTATTTTGACAATCATTACCATACCGATAACAAATATTCAAACACAACCATTAATGAAGACTGATTTGATTCTTAGAAAAACTTTATTTATGTAGAGTTCCTAACGGAAAGAAGCTTTCTGATATATTTTTCTGTATATTTATATTTGTTGTCGCTAGCTAGGCACCTATTGTACCTGATTAAGTACCTTTTTAACATGAATTATCCGTGACGGTAACATTTCTATTGGTTCAACCCTGTGTAATTCATAGTTATTCATGAATACTAGTGTTGCATATCGATAGTCTGCTATCGATAGACAATCGATTATCTATCGATAGTTAGGTAAAAGCAATAGTATCGATAGTCTATCGATAGTATCATCACGTGTCAATCCTGTCGATACTACCGATAGTATTGATGGCTCTCCAAGTGCCAATACTATTAATAACAGCAATACTATCGATAGTATCGATAGTAATGTATGCAATTGTATCGATGGTATCGATAATATTGCAATTTCCATTAGTTTTTGACAAAAACTATCGACACTATTGACTTAGACGATATTATCGATAGTACAATATAGATAGAATAATTTTCGAGGTCAACTGTCGATAGTCAAACTATCGATGGTTATACAACGCTAATGTATTAAATTATTTTCAATTCGGCACATTAAACTAAAATTGTCATCACTGCACATTCAAATCATTTCCTGACACTATATACAAGGTTAACAAAGCCGAACGTCTATCAAAAACTTAAATAGGAAATGGCGATAACTTAACCTTTAACCTAAACATTTATAGATAATTCGACAAAATCGTCGTTGTTCATACTCGTATTATGAAATGACACACGGGTCGATTTACAAAATAAGTAGCGCGAAAGAACGCGTAATCCAAAAAAAAAATTAATTAACCCCGGCTATTGTTATGTGTGTTTCAAATACTATGAATGTACTTAAAATTGTAATACGAATTATGTATTATCTACAATTACTTATCTTTTCATACAACTTCGATATAGGTAACGGTGAATTGAAATACGTAATTTTTCTAGAGCCAGTTTTAAAATTTACACTTATAATTATCAATTAGCTGATGTGCAGTTGCTTTATTTATTTTATAAAAAATATCACAAATATCATAACACCCGTTACAAAGGATAATCGTTCCTGAGTGTCATTTAATATTTCACCAAGCTCCAAACGTGGAGTCTCGAGGATTATTTTGAGACCAATATATTATGTAATTAATCATTTCCTCCAACACCGTAACGTGAAACAGATTAAGGCCAGGTGGTCATATTATTTTCACGCACTTGACCGTTTTTTTAATAAAATGAAAGTCATACAACTGTTTCCTTAACATCAATCATCCGTCAAATTACTTATCAATGTAATCCTGACTTAACTTTCGCTGTCATAAATTAAAACTTTAATTGGTATTTTGGTATATCTTGGATAATGTTTATTTTAAGCAAGGGTAGCGATAAAGTAAATATCATGGTGGAGCTGTGATTCTGCCAAGCACCAACGGGTTGGACACCGGCACTTACCAAACGCAACGCAAATTCTTTTATATTTCTGTCGATGTCGATCTTCTGCGAGGGCAGCACACTAAAATCTCTGACAAATAACAGTTAGTTTACGATCAGAAATATTCCGCTATAACTAACTTCAGGTATTTTTTTAATATTTCATTAGTTTTCAGGGGATCCTTATCATTGAAATCCTAAGGTGAATAAAGAAAAGCAAAGCATTGCAGAAATACATATTTAATGAAAAAAAAATGAACGCCATGTCTTAAGTAGCGTTGTGATACGAAAAATATTTCTGCGTAAAGGTCACAAGATAAGCTTTGATCAAGCTGATATGTTTTCCATTGGTCCCTACTATTATATTTTCGTTTTTCCAATTTGTAGAGATAATTTTAGATAAGACAATCATAATTATCCACAAGTAACAAAAGATACGTTCTGTGTAAATTTGACTTCAATGCGTAGATCCAGTCACCTAATAAAATTAGACTTTTCAAATTTTCATATCTACTCTTTTATCTTAATACAATATGATTTAAAACTAAGGGAGAACTTTACCCGCCCTTTTATAAGCGAAAGTATTATTTTTAGTTTTTGTATTGTGTTATAATCAAACTGTTATTTATTATACAATAAGTTTATTTATTTTATAAATCGTAATAAAATAAAATCGAGAAGAGAAATTAATCGTAGAAGTTCTGAGAGCAATCTTTAGTTTTATGATTTTTATATGTCAATGCCTCTAAAAGGTTTTCAGCAGGATTTTCTTTGGTGGTTCAGACTAGAAAATCTATAGGTTTTTCTTTAAATATCTTACATAGGCGAAATGAATATAGCACACTATAACATCACAAGTTTAATCAGAAAAGTTATAATGGAAATTTAGTTCCAGTGGTTGAGAAACCTCGTGTCTTTACGATAACAATGATTGCTGCACTAAACGACACCTGTTTTATCTTGAAACGACGGTACATATATTTACATATGATTACGTCATGGTGAAACAGATAAGTTACCAAAATCGCAAAATCTCCAGATAAGAGTAAACTAAATTATAATAAAACGATGCGGTTATGTATCTAATTGCTTGAAAGATTAAGATTGTATTGTCTAAAAATTGACTGCAATGAGACAAATCAGTTCGCGAGAAGACGACGAATTAGAAGATAATTTTCTGGTAATGACATTATTACGACTCTACGTATATCTAGATCTTATTTTATAATAATTGATAAATGTAATTCAACTTAACTAACAAATAAGTAGTTTTTTTGTTTTAAACCATACTGAACATCTGTCTATTAAACAAAGTTTTTCTCCAGTTAAAAACATTACAACCAAAGATATTTCCACACAAACGTACGTTACTACTAATTGTTTTCTTCAATAAATTCGATCATCTTAAATAAAAACATTACTGAAAAACATTTCTTCTTACAAGTAATACTTTACTATACATAATTGTACAATGCTCAACAATAATCTGTACAACTATTCCGTCCGAGTTGATTCCTACAAACTTATCGACATAAACCTACATTCCGCAACGATAACACGACTGAGTAACACAAAGCTAAGGAAATCCAATAGTTTCGACAGCACTGCAAGTTTCGGACACTGGGGTATTATTAGCACAGGACGCGCGTCGCACGCGGCACGCAACGTGCACCCGGAAAAGCGAGGAAAGCGTGGACTCACCTGCGTGGGGAGCACGGTCTCCCGGCCCAGGGGTATCGACATTTTGCTAGCGGCGCCGCCGGCCGCGCCCCGGCGTCCGCCCGCGCCGCACCATCCACCGACCCGCCACTACGGGCCGCGCGCCCTCCGCTCCCGCCGACGTCCCGCTCCAAGGAAAACACTTTTCCGAAAAAGCGGCTACCACGACGAGCTTACTCCGTCCAAGCACCGCACCGTTAGAAATCGCTCGGTTCACACATCACCGGGGACGTTTTCCATTCGGATCGATACCGCACTGGCCGAAAAGGGTACGAGAGAAAAAACAACAAAAGCCAATCAGTACACGGTCGTGTCAAAACTGGCGCGACTGTTACCGGAACGACGGCCGCCTCTGTAGGCGCGAGCGTGCGACTGACGCGCCGCGCGCATCGCTCACGCTCAAGCTCACCCCGCGCCTTCGCGACGGCCCTCGTACCTCGTGCGCCGTCCGCTACGCGATCGCGACCGCACGGGGTCGTGGCACAGCCTCCTTCGTCTCGCTCCCTTCGCGATCACACGAACACGTGCCGCGGCCACGGGCGTAGTGCGGTTATCGAACGCGAGTACACATGCGCACGGCGCAGCACTACAGCCGCCGTGGCTCATTCATTTGAAGCGAGCTCTTCGCACAATACACACCTGAGCAAATATTATGGGACCGGCGACGACAATAAAAGTGTTGTTTCCGAACACAGGCATCTATCTATTAACACTGCCCTCGTCGCGACTAGATCGCTCTTAAATGCGTAAGGAAAAAACTTTCTCGTGCAAATTTATATGACTGGTGTGTATTTTAGGTTATTTAATATTTAATTCTAATCTAACACTAGTGATTTCAGGTTCTATAGCGTAGGAAGGGTGCAAGGAGTGGTACTGCGTGGGCGCACTCGAGGCTGCGAACTTTAGCCGGTAGTCGCCCACTTTTCCTTTCTGCTACGTTCACTGCTCCAGATTACGTCATTTGCCTTAGTACGGTTTAGGCTGTTCATTCAATAGTTTCGAGACGTGGGCGATAAGGGCCGGTCTGAGGATTCAACAAGATATCGTAAGGGACAGGTTTTTACCAGTATTGAATAACTGCCAATATCCATTATCTTCATCTTTTATTTACTATTTTAATACCTATTGCGTAAAACTTGTACAAAACTACGTATAAATAAACCAGTCACGAGTATGCAATTTTCAAACAAACATGGCCCGAACGCAATATACCAACTTACTATTATTTCGTGCTGTACAATCTTAAATGTTAGGTTGTGGACCCGTAATTGATATCTACGTGAATAATATTAAGAAACATCTCATAGATAACATGAATAAAGAAGAAGTTTAAGTGTAGATAAATATTTGCGTATAAGATAAAATACCTATGTTAATTAAGAACAACCCGTGCATAACTATTCTTTTATACTGAAAATGCCAGTACAGTTGCCAAAGCTTAATACACAATAAAATAATAGTTAAATTTGTCATTAATATGGTATTAGTTGTACGGTTTGAAATGCTTAAGTTATAAATAAAATGAGTACAATCACTACATTTGAATTTAAATTTCTGATTTACTCATGTAAAATATGTACAGAAATAGGTCGACTTTTGTGTCAGTGATTTATTTCTTACACAAAATAATAAATAATGTTAATTCACATTATATCCAAGGAATTCAAACCCACGATCACGTTCGTAAATTCTCCAAATTATAGCGCCATGCGCATCATCTATAACTGTCATTCATATAACTAGATTTAACCTTTAGAATTATCTTTTTCATTTAATACTGTATTTGTTTATTTCACATCCACTTCAAAGTTTTTAGGCACTTCAAACACTAAAGGCTAACTTCAATATATTTTAAAACAATCTATTGTGAAGCTTAAACACAATAAAGATAAAATACAACAATATAATAACAAAATCAAAATAAACAATTTGAAACCTTACAACTCCTGAATTGAATTATAGAATCCTGAATTAATAATTTAATTACACGAAAATTAGAACGATAAATAGAATTCATAACTAATACCACGACCAGATACGATGCAGACATTACTTATTGCATAATACAAAATCGATATCCCGTTTAAATATACATATTTATATTCTGTGTCATGGATTTTAAGTTTTAATTACGTTATTACTAAATAATATCGGTGCCTTTATAGCAATTTGCAGATTCACATCGTACATTTTGTATACATTGAACGGGTCAAAGTATTTTTTTTTACTTTTTATAAAGAAATGAAGAAGACTTCTCACCTGTACTCCTTCCATTCCACCATCACAGACAGTCCATCGGCCATAGGTCGTCATGTTTTATTATCTTATATTTATATTTAGACTCACAAACCACATCACTAAAAGTCTTCCTTAAATGCAATTTTATTTTATTTTTAAAAATGGAATGAAGCCTACACGAGCGCTAGTTCACAAGTGCCATATGACACTACACCGACGGCAAATACAGAATTTAGAGCTTAGTTAGCACAAAGTGTGCAAATCGTTCGACCGAGGCGTATGTATATCTACTTCACGCAGATTGAAATTGATTGCCCACTCAGAAGTCACATTCATTGACGTGATTGAACAAAATGGACGAAATGGACCTTGCAAGACTGTTTACCGTCGTTATTGATACAATACAACAGTGTGTTCATACCGATATGGTTTTAGTTTACTTTGTAATTATATTGATGAAGATTGCTTTTATATATTAAGGCATTTTTATGGATTCAAATCCACTATATGACACAAAATACGTCGATTTTTCCGCCTTCAGTCGCTTGTTTCTTTATGTTAACTTGTGCAGCCGACTATTGATTGAACAAGTAAGAAACTTTCAATTATATGTGTACATATAGATGGAAAAGGCTTCAGATACTGCTTTCTTTGATATGAGATACTTAGCTATAATTTTGTGAAATTAAGAACTTTTAATTTTAAATGACGATATACTCCATCGATTTTAATATTTAGACAGGTGCAATGGTTAAATTAAAGAAAATAATGCCATTATCCTCTATTTTTACTATGTATTTAATGAAATCAACGACAAAGTTGCATAATCGTTCTAAATACTATCTAGCTTAATATCTACTTGCGTTTTCACATTATGTATTTGTGCTTGGGCCAAAATCGCCAGTTTGACTCTATTTAGTCTAAAAGCTAGTCCTAAACCACATCGAATAACAGACATTTCCATAACTATGGAGGTATTGTCAATGAGGCGCTGCGAGCCCGAAGTTGTCGAAAGACAGAACGAAATAGAAGCCTAATATAATAAATATATATGAAATAAATAAGAACAGATAGAACGAAATAGAAATCTAATAAGCGTTTCCATATTCACACAATGGACAGAAATATTACCTAGTTTACATAATAGCAAAATTTTACATTTAAAACATAACAATTTTACCTTCAGGGAAATATTTTTAGAATTTACATAATAATTTTATTTCTCAAAACAACGTAAGTATATATTGATGTATATTGAGGATTTTATATTGCGGAGAAATACAATCTATTTGTAGGCACAAAAAGAAACGAAAATTAGAAGTATAAAAGTACACGTATTAGAAATCATAGTCGAAATACCTAATCAATATTATACAAATAAGCAAGCAAATTATTTTGCATAACATTATACGCATTAATAAATAGGAAAGTTGTCTAAAGCTTTCTAGTATCTTGTCTTGTATCATGCGCTAATCTATCACTTATCTTTGGCAGATCTATGATGGAGGTCATGGCTGTACCCAATACTTTTTAAATATTTCGCTTATACCTCTATGCTCCTTTCTCAAACATCTGACAATAGCGAATGAATATCGTAATTCTAATGTTAATCTCAATTGTTTTTTCGTAGAAAAGGTAAGTCTCAAACAAACGGGACTTTTTCACTGCATAAATTTTTTAAAAAGTTTATCTGCCTTTTAGATTTTGGTTGTCCGTTTACATCACACGCCAGTCAGAGGAATAAGAGAATTATCACCTGTGAGGTCACGAGGGGCCCATGTTCTCACTTCCTTTAGTTTTCAAGAACCCACTACCATATGTCTGACCCATTTAAAAATTATCTGCTATACCTACATTTCGTAAAATACCTAAAGGGCCTTTCAGATATTAAATAATCACAAGCCATTGTAAGCAACGCCTCATTCATATAATTTATTAAGTTTATGTTTAATTAACAGATTTATTTATTTTACCCTACTCCAGTTCATCTCATGTCCATTAATCTCTAGAACTGATCTACTTTCTCTTCGCTACTCTAACAAACGGCAGAACCTATTCGCAAAAAGCATTCTGAATTACCACATTATGTATAGGTAATTACTTTTTAAGTAGGTATTTGTACGGGAACATTTATTGAAGTTGGTCATATTTCCTTTAGCACATTAGAAAAAATTATGTAAGTAATTTTTTTTACGATGCTAACCGACAGCCAAAAAGCCTCATTATGAATTTGGCTGCAATGCAAAATGACCAAGATCAGTATTACCATGGCAACTACTAACAACTTTTTGACATTTATCTATAATTCCAAATTATTTAAGAGCCGTGATAGCTCGGTGTCCGGGCGCTCGCCTTTAATTCAATACACTCGAGCAACCTGAGTTCGATGCCCGGTGCCGGCACCAATGAAGTTTTTAACTTTAAGTGCTGACTTATCACGTGCTCCGCGGTGAAGGAAAACATCGTGAGGAAACCTGCATATTTTCGAAATAATTACAAAAAAATATATATATTTCGAAGATATGTGAAGTCCGCCAACCCGCAGTGGGGCCGCGTGGTGGACTATGCCCTGATACCCTCGATATAGAAGATGCCTTTGCCCAGCAGTGGGACATGTATAGGCTGTTACTTTACTTTACTTTATTCTAAAGAAGTGTAACTACTTACATGCATACATAAGTACACTCATACTTTTTTTTAATATAAAACTGATGTAGGAAGCTTATCGATTTATTTTAATACTAGCTGCTGCCCGCGACTACGTCTGCGTAGAATAGGCTGAAGATGTAATATTAAGACAGAAAGACAGATATACATGAAATATGTATATAAATTATTGTAAAGTTTCATTAAATCCATTCAGTAGTATTTGCGTGAAAAAGTAACAAACATCCATCAATACATACAAACTTTCGCATTTATAATATTAGTAAGGTTTAACATCCGACGTTTCGACACTGCAACATCTTGCGAAACAGATTGGGGCTTTAGGCGGGTTACCATAGGTTTTTACAAATAATAATTTTGTGTCCATCTACGTTGAAAGTTCTCATACAATTTTGTCTTGCAGTGGTGGATTGTTCGGGCCTAGATGTAATTCTATTAAAGCTGATGATATTCGTCAGTCAAATATGTATAACAAAAATAGAACAATATCAAAATGAGCATAACTTACCAGGCGGGACTGAAGTCAAAAACTAGACAATCCATGATAAACCATCGAGAAACAAAGTCGTCTGCTCTTGACTCGAAGCCACGGGTTTGAATCCAAATTAACAATAGTTTAAACGAAGAGTTTATAAATTTCTGACTGATCTTTGATCATGATTTAGACAGATCTTTTATTGCACGAGAAAAAAGTTCATAGAGAATCATCAGAATTGGATTATGTTGTGCAGAAATTTTGGAACTTCAAGAAAAATGTTATAAATTATACATAGAACAAATTCAAGAAAAAATTAAAGCTTCTCTTCTTCTTCTTTTCTTTATGGCGTTTTTATGAATTCGCCAATGGCATTTGAAAGATGCTCTATCAGTTTAAGCTGACAATAATTAAGAGAAAAAAAATTACTTTGCGAAAAGAGAGGAGATTGTGATATTATAGGCACGAAATAGAAATAAATTTTGATAATACTACTCTGTTGAATTAAATTAAAGCTAACCCTAAAATTTTCTGGAGTTACTTCAAATCAAAGCGTAAAAATAACTTAGATTATCCCCAAGAAATGACATAATATGGTGATATAAAATTAAATAACCCCTTGGATATTTGTTGTCCATTAATAATTTTTTCAGAAAAACTTTAGTCCACCTAGTAATAATTATAATTCATTTACACATAGTGACACTTTAAATTTCAATACAATTCAAAATATTAATGTCAGCAAAGAGTTAATTCATAAGATAATAAAATTAGTAAGCTTGATGTAACAAAGGGAGCTGGTAATGATAATTTGCCCCCTATATTTTTCTTAAAATACGTTTAATCATTGTCTGCTCCACTAACACTGCTATTCAATAGGTGTATTCACGATGGGTATTTTCCAAGAGCTTGGAAAGAGGCTCATATTGTTCCGGTACATAAGAAAGGACTTTAAAACTATTATAGAGAATTACCGGCCCATATCGATACTTAATGTTTTGAGTAAAGTGTTGGAGAGAACTATTCATATTCACATCTATCCTATTATTTCAACCCTTAATACCAAGAACAGCATGGTTTTATAAAAGGACGTTCCACAGCAACTAACCTGGGTACCTTCATTGATTTCGTAACCACAAACATTGATGGAGATTCACAGGTGGATTTGATATATACTGAATACGAAAAGGCTTTTGATCGTGGGGATCATAACATACTATTACATAAACTTTACGAACTTGGTATTCGAGGCGATTTATTAAGGTGGATAAAATCATACCTATGGAAACGGTCTCAAGCATTGGTTTAGTTCTAATTTTGTGGAAATATCCTCAGGCGTCCCTCAAGGCTCCATATTGGGCCCTATCCTATATGCTTGCTATCGGTACGACGTGGATAAGTGTTTCCATCATGCTAAATTCCTTATGTATGTTGGCGCTGGCAACACTGTATACCGGATATGACGCTATCTACTCGAGCCAAAGGACACATAAACATATTAGTACAGGGGCTCTTTTCTTCGATGTCGCAAAAGCATTCGACAAGGTCTGGCACAACGGCTTGCTTTACAAGCTGTACAGACTCAAAGTGCCAGATAGGCTCGTACACACCATCCGGGCCTTCCTGTCGAACCGCTCTTTTCAATATCGAGTTGAAAGCACCCTCTCCACAAGCCGCCGCCTCACGTCCGGACCACAAGGCTCCTGCCTCTCACCTTTGCTCTTTACGCTCTACACGAGCGATATACCTAAAGACCCCCACGTCAATCTCGCGCTTTTCGCGGATGACACGGCCGCAACCTTAGACAACTAACTAACAACTAACAACTAACGAGAATAGAAATAAATCCCGAAAAGAGTATGGCGATTCACTTCACACGAATTACTTACCCGTCACATCTTTATAATGGCCCTCGTCAATGCAGAAAGTTGGGGCAAATATCCCTTTATGGCCAACCGCTCCCCTGGGAGAAAAAGGTCAAGTACTTAGGAGTCACTTTCGACTCGCGTATGTCATTTACTACGCACATTAATAACGTTCGCAATAGAGCCGCGTTCGTCATCGGCCGGCTACACAATTTAACTAACGCTAAAAGTAAAATGCCCTTAAGGCACAAATTATTATTATATAAGACCTGCGTACGACCTATTATGTCTTACGCATGCATGACCTTCGCCCGCACGCACCCTACTCGCTTGTACAAGTTGCAAATAGTACAAAATAAGTTTATCCGCCGCGCAACCGGTGCGCAGTGGTATCAACGCAACGTCGAGCTGCACAGCGATTGCAGACTCCCGACGATTCGCGAATATTTTAAAGACCTGACCAAACGGTTCTTCGATAGAGGCGAACATCATCCCAACCCTCTGGTGGTAAGCGCAGCAAATTACCAACCAGACACAAACGCGAACGTCAACAAGCGTCGCCCGCGAAACGTCCTAATCGACCCGGTCGAAGATGGAGACTTAGATACGCCGGACCCACCGCCGGGGGTCCCGCCGGACAATACTACACCCACAGTTAGTGCATAAACAAACATACTAGTTCGCCCTCGCCTTCGAGCACGGCGAGACCAACACAACGCGTACACAAGGTACACCCGCGTTCCAGCGCGGTTCTCACCGCCCCCAGCCACCGACTAGCTAATTGCACAGTCGACGGCCATCGGGATTTCGGTCTGAACCGCGACCTCGATGGCCCTTAGACACACCATAGTTAAATGCACGTATGAGCACATGAGTGGCCCTTCCAACAGCGGAGAGCCCAAACCCGTGGGTTCTGGCTAGCCCGGTGGGCTGCGTCAGATGAAGCTTTAATAGTCTCGGGACTGAAAGTAAAAACATCAGTTAATACAAGATACAAGAAGAAATCACAGAATTTCCAGTGATTATGAAGTGTCGTATACGTATTATATAAGCTCGCCTTGAGAGCCGGCGTACGCTATTGGACATGGCTTTCTTGCATGAACTGTGTAAGGAAAATATTGACTGCGAATATTTAGCTGCAAAAGTTCTCCGATTCTCTACTCTAAAAGTAAGAGTCAGACATATACGCCTATTTGCTGTAGCTAAGTCATCGACTCGCTATGCACAGAAATCATTAGTGAGTCGCTTGCAGAGTGTCTTCAATAATAAATTTCACAACCTAGATATTTTAACAAAAATAGGGATAGCTTCAAAAAGGGTAGGGTATTAAAAGTATTGGAGGAAATTGCATCTTAATCACACACACACACACACGCGCGCATGCACGCGCGCGCCGACAACACTGGCACGGACGCACGTACGCACGCACACACACACATAAGTAATCCATGATAATGTCTAAGTATCAAGTTTTCATGTATTTCGACTGTCGTAATTTAAATAATTTAGCTAATGTTAATCAAAATTGGCTTTCAAGTTTCAGTAAGTACGATTTGTACATATTTAACGAAGTGCTGTGGATTTTTTACAAAATAAAATAAAAATAGACATTGCGCATGTTTCACATTTTTCGGATTTTGTGGCAAGACTTTAGTTCTACCTACCCTGTGATTTAAGGTTCCTGAAGGTAAATGAATAAAATATCTTTATTTAGCATGAAATTAAATTTAATAAGATATGAATCCAAACTTGTTGGGTTTTTGTTAATAATACGGTTAACATGTTTCCTATTTATGTAATATTCATTTATTTAGTTTATTTTTAAAACGGCATCGGTATTAGTACATAATAGGCTATTCACGCGTTTTACAAACATTGATCACAAAAAAAATTGTATCCCACTTGAGAACTCTCTTCTCATAAGAGTGTGAGAATCGAACAGGCATAGCTGCTCGCACAAGGTTACCACCCTCAATGGCACTATCCATGCAATGCTTAATGTGGGTGTCAAAAAATATCTAATTCTATAATAAAAACAATATGTTGAAAAAGTTTTTGCATACTGCGTTTAATAGTTTTTATTGATTGTTAAAGGAAAGAATAAAAGTTACTGAACTCAACACTATATTAAATTGAACATTTCATTGCTTGTTCCTTCTACCCATGCGCAAATCTCGCTCAATCTCATACTGACGGACGTCCGCACGCGCAAGGAAATCTTGACGCTCCAGGTATCTGAAACAGTAGTTTATTAGAGTAAATTTATACCCAGTTTAGCCAAAGATACAGGGGGCATTTGGACAGGCTCTTAGCCCCCCGAGACTGACACTCAGCGCCTGTCTTATCGTTTTTTGTTTCTAGTTGTTCTAAAGCTTCTCAGCCAAATTATATTAAAAAATTTCATTCACCTTTTTTACTTTTAGTTTCAGAGCTTTAACAAGAAACATTTAATCTTAAACAATATAAATATGTTATGTTTTTTAATTGAACGAAATAGAAATATTTCCCACTAAACTTTTATTACTAATATAGAATTATATAATTATACCATTTCTATCAACATATAGAAATGGTATGATCATACCTACTTTTGTTGAATTTCATAATGTGGATCTGTATGTGTATCAATAAAATTCTAGTAATCAATCACTGAATTATAAAAAATGAAACTATATCCATTTTTTATAATTCAGTGATTCAGTGATAATTTACATTCCAGTGTAAGTCCATAGATATTAATATATTTTTATAACTAAAAAAATATATAAACTACATTTTAAAATTAACTTTTACCCTTGTTTTCCTTTATTGTGACTTTGTATTTCATCATCAATGTCTTCTACTTTCTTATATGTATCCCAATCTAGCTTTGACTTTTCTAATGTTGAAAGTTTGTTCTTTTTATTTAGCTGTCCTAAAATATTTGATAGCCCTCCAGTTGCCCGACTTTGTGATGGGATGCTTTTACTCACTGAAACAATAAGATTTTAGATGCATTAGTACAGTAAGGGTTAAAAAAAAGTTTTCTCCTGGTTTTAAAAATACGTACTTTCATAGAATTTTATAAATATACACCCAGCATACAGACCAGCATTCTTTTCATCACTTGATGGTAGTATATAAGTTTCATATCACATCACCCTCAGTTTGGAACATAACCAACAATTTGAAAACTCAAACAAATTTGTTGATATTCATTAATTATATTACTTGTTAAATAATTTAAACCCCTATACACAGAACTATGTTTTGTTAATAATCTTATGTTATCCACATACTATTCAACTCACCAGTAGATGAAGCCTCACTGGCTTTTAATTTTTCTTTAATGACATTGTTTTCAACAACAATAGTCTCCCCTGCAAATTCAAAAATTCTTCTTTCTCTTTCTTTCTCATTTCCTACATCTTTCTTTGCACTATTACCAAATAATGCCTTATTGCAATCTAAACTACACTTTGGAGGTTGTGCACAGGTGTTTGGGCTAGTCGATTTGGGTTTTGTATCTGTTCCTTCTAAGAACTTAGCCCAAAGGTCTTCTTCTCTTTTTTTTTCCTCCTCTGGATCCCTCGCTAGTTCAACTATTCCCATTGGTTCCTTGATTTCTTTCACCTCTGTCTCATCATTTGAGACCTTCTTCCTTTTTCCTCTTTTTTGAACTGACTTTCTCTTTTTACTTCTTTGCTGTTTTTCATCTTGAGACTGTTCATCAGTTTCTTCATCAACAGACTCTTCTTCAGATACTTGCTCAGGTTCTTTAGGTACATAATCTTCATCACTTTCACTACCAGAGGACATCTGAATGTAATTCGAAAGGTGTCTGTTATTAAATTGCAGAAAAAATATATAATAAACATAATGTGCATAAAATACCTTCATAATGATTGTAAATTGATATTCCATAAATATGACATTTATGGAATATCTATTCTATTACAGCGAAAAAGAACATAAAAAAGAAAAGATGGGTAAAAATATTATTATTTTAATTTATTGCAAATGTTTCAAGAATAATGGTAGTATTACAAAAGATTTTTCTTGTTTCTATTTCTATTTTTAACATTTGATACTTCATAAAAGTTGCTTCCTGTTTTTGTTCGCTTCCGAGATCTTTCTACTGCTCTTCGTTGTTTTGCTGTCATTTTATTAGTAATCTTTTGAATTTCACCAGCTTTACGTTCTGTTGATCTCTGAGATAATTCTTCAACAGTAAATACACCACTAGCAACTTCCAATTTTCGTCTTTTCAAGTCTTTTACTGTTTCTGGATCATTAGTCAAATAATCTTCAATATCACTACACGCTTCATCACCATTACTATAAAAGTTACTGATATCAGAGTCACTATCACTTTCATTTTCTTTTAGATCATCCTTTTCTTCAGCTTGCGATTTTTCCTCATCATCATTATCATCAATACCCTTCAATTCTTCTGGAATAGTGATTTTTTGAAGTGGTTTAACATCATCCTCATTGTCAAATGGCAGACCCACCCTTATTTTTGCAAAATCTTGTGCTACTATCAGTTTGTTAATAATTAACTTCGGCTTCTCCAAATTATCTTCTTTTTCTTTAGCATTATCAGTAGTATTCTCAGAGCCTTCAATTTCCTGAATATTATTTTGCTGCTCATCATTTGTTTCTAAGTCCACCTGTTTTTCAGTTTGTTTAGACAATGGAACTTCAAATCCATCCGGCGCAACATAAAAAGGCAATTTGCCTCTTTGCCAATCATTTAGTACCATTTTTGCAACTTGAGATATATCAGGTTCTCCTTTTTTTAGAAGTTTACCCGTTCTGGCGGCAAGTTTTTCCAAAAATTCAGTGGCGGTTTCCCAACCATCGACTTTATATGTCTTTATTAAATAATCTTTACGTACCCTTTTGATCACTTCTTCTATATAATCTTCAGGATTTTGTACTAACTCTACTCTTACAACACCTTTCAATACTTTTTCTGTGTCTGTTTCAGCAGAGGGATAAACAATACCGGGACAATCAATAAGAAATATTCGTCGCATTAAGGTAATGTACTGCCAAACCTTTGTTTCTCCAGCAATAGGAGCAACTTTACATACTTTTTTTGCTCTTAGAGTATTAATAACTGAAGATTTTCCAACATTTGGATAACCAATCAAACCAACACTGATTTGTTTTTTATCAATATGCAATTTTGCGAATTGACGTAATATATTTATAAGAGACCCTTTTCCAAATGGATGTGTCATAGAAGCATGAAATGCTATGGTTGGATACTCTGAACTTAAAATTGCAACCCATCTCTGTGTTACCCAATTAGGAACTAAATCTACTTTGTTTAAAATAAATATTAAGTGTTTGTGCGGTTTTTCCTGTTTTAAAAATTTTTCAACATATGGACTTCTTGTTCCCATTGGATCACGAGCATCAAGAACTTGCAAGAGGACATCAGATGAATCAACAACTTTGTACAATTCATTCCAAATCCTTTTACTCATGCCAGCACCAAAAACCCAATCTCTTTGTCCATCTTTGACACCTGTATCTTCACGCACTCGATCCACATCTTTTGTTTCATCATATTTTTCTGTGCTTACCTCTGCTGCCTTAGAAAAATGTTCAATGTCACTAAATTTTAAATTAACCCTCTTTCTTTGTTTCTTGGGTCCAAATGTTTTGTCAAAACTTTCTGTTTCTAAAAGATGGACCCTTGCATGTTTAGCTTTCTCATTTAGCAAAGTTATTGGTAAGTTAGTAGGTTTCATAATAACTTTATATGGGTTTTTAACAGCAGCCCCAAATTCTTCTTGAAATTTTTGCAAAGCGCTTTGAGATATAACTCTAGAGTTTCCAAACCACTTCTGATTTGGCTCTACTCTTGCTTGAGTACCAGAAGGGAGCCAACCTTGAAATGGGGCAGGAGTAAGAATTTTTCCTGTCTTATCTCTTTTAGCTTTAAAATTACGGTACATTTGCAGTCTTTTAATTGTCCCTTTCGTTCTGGGTTTACCTACTCCTTTAAGACCTTCTGTTGGTCGATCTGGATTCATTGAATGCCCAGATTTATTAAAGCCCTGCTTTCGGGGCGCTCCCGGAGCTGATCTCACTTTACCCATTTTTGATATAAAATCCAACAAAATAAACAACAAAAACACAAGAAGTTTCAAACACGCGGTATACAATATAATACAAATATTAAGGTTATGCTATCATGAACATGATAACTTTGACAGATCAAGGCAAGGTTGGAAATGAGAAGTTGAGAACACTACAAACTACCTAACTTCAGGTGATATAAAAGCCTTAGTAATGTTTTGAAATAAATAATAAATGAATAGTACAATAACCTTATTATTTTATCACCAATTTCACTGAGAAGACACCATAAATAACACACACTTTAATTACCAAGCCGAAAGTCGATATAAATCAATACACTTGGAAATAAACGCCTGTTTTTGTAATAATCGACAACTTCAGTTAACTTCCCTAGGGATGTACTGTACGATACGAGTACTTACTCGATACTTCCTTCCGATACCAAGTACTTCTTGCATCGATACTAGCTTAACTAGTATCAAGCACGTATGGGAAAAAGTACATATCGGTAATATAAACATAAATTGCCCAAGGTACGTTTTTATTCAACGTTAAAGACCGATCATTACGCTCATCTACGCTAATAATTTATTTGTAAATCAATTTTATAGTTTCAAACACACCGAGCTTACTACAGCAATTGGTGGATTTAACACACGTTTTACTAGCAGCAACAAGCGTTAATATATTTAAATCTTGTATGGGCCACCGTACCCCACGAAATCCTGTTTTCCGCAAACAATAACGAATTCAAAAATTGTGTAGAAGGGCAAAAACTTGGAAATAATACTCCAATTGTAAAAGTCTGGAGCGATCAATTCTTTTCCAAAGTGTTATCATTGAAATAATTATTAATTTTTATAAAGACCTGAAGAAGAATTTAGCAATGGAATATTTTTTAGTATTTTGTTGTACAAACATTAATAATCATTATAAGTACTATAATGACACAATATTTTCATAGTCTATATTTATTTTTGACATTGCAGTAGAATTATTATAATTTAATCTGTATCTGTACACTAAAAAGGTAAAAAACAATTCAGCACTGCTTTCAAATCTTCCTCTTTGGGTTTGGGATAAAACACTAAATGCAAATCAATTTTGCCTATTGTACAATATACTTCTATTACCATTCGTGAAATTCGGAAGGTACTAGGAAGAGTCATTACTCAATTAACAATGTAATTTTATTTAATTTCATACTATACATTTTTCGTATAACGTTGATGCTACGAAAAACCACCCCGATGCCTGTGACCATCTTCTTCATAAAGGCAACATGTATGACATGTTGTCGGAATTCAGAGTGTCAGAATTTGATTCATTCGTGGATATATTAAAATTGACCTCAGGCGATCCCCTCGATACTTTTGGTGAAATGTGGTATCCAGTGTTTTTGTGGTCCCTGTGCTCATCAGTGTTTGTGCATACTTGTGCGGGCTTAGTTGCATTTGGTACCTTAAGGAAACATAAATATGGAAAGTTTTTTCCAGTGTTGCTAATAATAATGGGAGTGGTGACTCCAGTCACTTCAGGGGTTGCTAGTAGTGCAGCAATAGCTTTTATATATCGAGCAGCAAAGTTAGATATGCCACCCATACATGCCATGATATGGGGCATTGGACAAACAGTTTTAGGGGCTGGAATAGGATTCACTAGAATTTTGGCAACATTGTAGTTCATTAATTTACAACTAAGTAAAATAGTTAATTTTTATTGAATTTGATCACATTTATGTAAGTCAATTATGCCTTAATATTATTGTATCTAATCATTTAGATGGTGCTGTTAATAGTGAAAATTACATTTGTATTAATAAGCTTTATGTATGTTGAAGTAAATTTTCCCGTAGATACTACTCAATTTATGTATTTAATGTTTTTAATGAATATGTATTTCTAAATTGAAAAGGCCAAAAATATCGACATCTGAATGTAAACTATATATTTAATATTCAGTTTTTTGTTGAAATGTCATTGAATGCAAAATAAGAATGTTCTTGTAAAAACTCTAATAAGAATCTTAACATCTTAACTTTCATGTAAACACTACACACATTTATTAAAGGTCTAATATATGTAACATTCCACATCCACCAAACAAATAACAAGATTGTTATTATTCTCTAATAACAGTTTAAATTTAAATTAGATGTTAATATATCATAATTACTAACATTACCACCCACCGAATCATAAAATTAGTAATTTGTTTACAGCCTATTGAAAATGCTATTTGGGTATTTGCCCTTACATATACAGCAATAACTAAATTTTTTGAAAAAACTATAACTTGGTTAAGTTGTAAACCTTATTTGTAATTACAGACTAAAATTAGATATTTAATAATTGACATACTATCATTTAATACTATTCTGGTATACACCTGGTTTAAATACTTAATTGTAATATATGTTAAGGTTTTTGATACAAGTTATAAAATGTAAATATATTGTTGTCTAAATAATCTTAAAAGTATAGACATAGCAATAAATTGTGATTAAACTTTATCGGCATGGAAACATTTGCATTATTATTTAATGAAAATAAAACATGATTTTCAAATAAAATATAATGTATTTTATTCTAATTTATTCACAAAAAATGTTAAAATCAACACACTAATTTTATTTACATTTATAGTATTAAAATTACATTATCAGTTAATACATAAAAAGTCAAATGGTGCTTCCGTGGCATTGTTTGGAATATGGTTTATGTGTCAAAAATACACTATCTTCATCATCTTCATTGCCAACTTCACAAATGGTTTCTTCTAGTGTAAGAGGTATATTAATATCCTCACTTATTAATGTGTTCTGAAAATAAAATAAAAAAAATTACCTTTAAATATTATTTTCATTTAAGAGAAGAAATTTAATTGTGATAAATAAGTTGTATGCCCAATGGTGGGTAAACACAAGCTGAAGAAGAATAAACAAGTTAAAAATTTCCATTAAGAATTAATACATTATTCGTGAAATTGCTTTATTTATTATCTAAGCTCCTACAAACGTGACAAACAAATAGTAAATTCAAGCCTTTTTCTGCTTGTAGTTTTTATTTTAATTTGCCAATTTGATAACTATACGTGTCCACGGTTCCCATGAAAAAAAAAATGTTAACTACTGATAATGTTAAAAAAAAATTACGCAAAAAGAAATATTCACAATACCTCATGAAGTTCTCTTCTACTTAATCTACTAACACAATCTTGCAAAGATTTTGTTTCAGATGTGGCATCTTGTAGAGCTAATTTTAGATCAATTACTTCCCTTCTTGTATTTGATAGTAATTTTTCTGTTGTACATAGTTGTTCTTTTAATTCTTTGTTTTCTTTCTCTAATATAGTTTTTGCATTAGTTAAACATTTTATTTTATTTTCATAAAGCTTCAATTCAGAATCTGTGTCTTTAAGCTCTAAAACTTTATGCGATTGTTCAACTTGTAAATTATTACACATTTGTTTCAAATATGCAACATTCTGTTCACATATTTTCTTCTCATCAGTTACAAGTTTGATTTCATTCTCTAAAGCAGTGATTTTACAAGTCATTGCTGAAATATGTGATGCTTGGCTATCAATGATGTTTTCTTTGTCCAGGAGTTTAACTTCCAAATCTTGAATTTTGCTAATGTATGTCTGTAGTTGAACTGACTTCGAA